GCGAGGAAAAAAGTCAGAATTGCAAGAACAAATGCCTGAATTATGCGATTAAAAAGTTGCAGTTCACTTTTTCATTTAATTTTTTTCATCCTGTGGCAGACACAATCTTCCATAGTCTACAACTCACTGAAGAGAAAATTGTTAGTAATGATTTTGAATAAAGCTGTTGTATGTCTTCAAAATATGTTTTACATTTTTTTTTATTATCATTATTACAGCTCCGATTTTTTATATGAATTTTATTATTGTTCGGTTAGAACTTTTACACATTTCTAGTCATTGTAAATCATGCTCAATATAAAATCATTTTTAATCATCTAATTTTAATGATCAAAATTATGGGGATCAAAAGTTTGCAAATTGAGAGGTTATAATACAAGGATTTACTCATTCTTACACCAGGGGGCATCATGTCCTATGCTCTGTATTACATATAAAATACATAGTGTATATTGTAAAAAATGTAATTTTTCTTAAACCATAAGAATAAATAAGAGTACTTTTAACTCAACTAATTATTTTTTGCTGTCTACAGCTGTTAAATTAAAAAGACTGCCAGCAAAATCTTGTTGCACAATTCACATGCACCATAAGACCACAAAACACTAGCCAGTATTAAACAGGCAAGGCTGTAACTCATAAACAATATTTTATTGTTGTTCTGAGCTCAATACTGCTCGCAGCCAGTTTTGCATTTAAGCAAATAATTTTTGCATTAATACAGTTGGAAAAAGTTGCATCCTGTATGACCACAGCTTTTTAACCACTACTTACTAACATGGCACACACTAAGCATGTTACTGAAGTCACAAAATCTAATGCACAATATATTTTTAAAAACATTTTTTGTCATTTCATCTTAAAATAGTGTTTTACACTGAGTAACAACAACAGGGACATGAGATGATTTTTAGATTTCTGTTGGATTAAAGTCTAAACTTTCAACTCCAGTGGTAATGCTGCTTAATCTTAATCAAGTCGAGATAATGAAACCCAACCAAAGGGGTGGAGGAATCAAAAGATGCATGTCATTTAAAAAAAAAAACAGCATTACAGCAAAAAACCACCTCACCCAGTTCTTTTCATAGGGCATCATATCTGTCTCAGTAAAACACAAATTTGGTATAGGTACAATATAGGTTTAAAAAGTGTATCAAACAAGAGTATTGCATAGATAAAGGTTCTTACCCATTTTTAGTCCTTTTTCCAACAACGTCTTTGCATGAACAATTGCTGGTTGTTTCCCCTTTACTTAAATGAAAGAGAGAGTGGGGTGGAGTGATGATGCAACAAGGGAACTATGCTTCTGTAGAAAACTATTTTGAATATCAGCTTTCAAAGGAAACATTCTTCCATGGGACCCAAGATAGAACCATAATTATAATTGTTTAGCCACCAAAAATGAAGGGGAGAGCAGATAACTAGTTCTGCAGTTTAACATTGGTGCTTCGAGACTGAAATGCAAATTTGACTTGCCACAATCTTTTTTTCTTTTTTTTGACTTGCGTAAAATTAATGTCCAATACATGTAATATCCAATACAGTTTTTCACCGTATATTGTAGGGGAATTTACCGTTAACCATTTAACAGGTTTTTACTGTAGCATTTTTACAGTCTTTTACCGTTAAATTCACGGTCATTTTTTACAGTGTATGCCTATGCCTAAAACCTGTGTTTTTCATGGCAATCTGGAAAACAAGGTGTGGATTTATAATCGAGAAAATTGATTGGTTTTAAATCCACCAGAAAACAATATATCCAAAAGCCATTCTATTTATTTATTTAGACTGGTAGAAGGTTCCCCTATGTGATACAGTGAGAACAGCTGAGGTGATTGATGGCAAAAGCGAGATTTAATATCATTAAACATCATCTTAATAAGTTGCTTTTAAGAATTTCATTTTTACTTTGTTATTATTTAAACATTTCCAGGACTCTCAGTGTTTGGAACACACAGTTTGGTACATCCCTGACTCATTCTTGAATGCTCACAAAAGAGAACCAGTCCAGTGCCGACTAGAGTCAAATGAGCAATGTCAGTCTTTTCTAGTTTCCTCTTACATATAAATACTCATGTTTTGAACTTTCTAGCAGTAAAGGAATGTCTGCAGCAGGACGTTTCCACAAACCTCTAGGAAAAACAAAGATTATTTGAATACGTTTTACAGGAAAATACTATTTCAGTCTTTCTACTAGATAATTTCATTTTTAATTTAACGTGTGACTTGATATTTGATCCTGGAACAACATTACTGTCCAAAAACATAGACCAAACCCTACCCCTACCCATAATTTCTACCAAAAATCAGAGGGAAATGATAGTTGAATAACAAGGGTGCAGAAGCACCTAACATTGCTGTAAGCCTAAAACAGACATGTCCTGTAAATTTATCCCTCAAATCTGATTGGTTGATTGGGATGTTGATCCAGGAACACATTGTACTTGGTGAAATCACGTTCACCATGAAATTACTAGAAATTTCAGTTTTTCGGTGTAAAAGGGCCCATCAATTCTAACTGTATGTGTTTTGCATATGGGAAAAAGAAGCCATAAAATGTATGATGTGAGATAATGTTGCATTAAAATTTAGAAAAGTTTCTAAAACATTTTCCCCCAAAATAGAACAAACGGAGTCATTTATTCAACTTTTCCACTCGTATAATGCAGTTTATGGCTGTATATTTTGTTCAACCTCATTTGTAAGTCATAAAAACGCGGCTATCAAGGTAAGAAATAGGAGTCATAAATGTCTAGATAATTTTAATGGCTTGGTTTTTCATCCTGGCAGCTGTCAAGCATAGAGATAGCGATGTCTTTTGTTTGCTTTGAGACTTTGAAGTCCTGATGATCCTCAGCAAAAGCCATCTCCAGCGCCAGCAGCAGAGACTGTTTGAGCTGCTTCTTATACTCATCACACATGAACACATAGAGAATGGGGTTCAGACAGCTGTTTAGAAAAGCCAGGCAGTTCACTACAGCTTCTGTTTTTAATAAAACCGCCTTAGCAGACTCACTCCACTGATTCTCCTTTGCACTTATGTAATAAAACTCGTGGATATGATAAGGAAGCCAGCATATGAAAAAGGCCAGGACCACAGCTATAATGACCCGGTAAGACCTGAGCTGCTTCCTCTTTTTGAGGCTTTTGACTCGCATGCCGATAGTTATATATGAAGATGCAATGACCAGGAAGGGGATGAGGAAGCCCACTATGAACCTATATGTGACCAAAGACTTGTAGGATTGCATAGAAGTTGGATAGTTACACATTACTTCAGGCTCTGCTGTTGAGTAATTGATGACTGCGGGGATGCTGCAGCCGATGGATAAAACCCACACAATCTTGCAGATGATTCTAGCTTTGAACAGGGTTCGATTATTCCGACTCCACACAACCATCCATGTGCACAGGCATCGGTCCAGACTGATAGTCGTCAGCAGAAAAATGCTGGCAAACATGTTTAAGTAAATCATGAATTGGAGAAACTTCCACTTGAAGTCACCAAAGTGCCAAGCCATCTTGCATAAGGCTAAAATGAAACTTATGATCAGAGTTAAGGAGAAGATGAAGTCTGCAATTGCCAAGTTGAGGAACCAAATGGAGTTGACTGTTGTCTTCATTTTGTAGCCGGTCACAAATATGACGAGCCCATTTCCGATGAGACCTACGGCAGAGATTGCCAAGTAAATGCATATTTTGAAGACGTTAATGCCCGAAAAGTCCTCGGCCTGCACAGTAGAATTGTCTGTAGTGAATCTGGTCACATTTTGAGGTCCAAAAGTAGTGACTGTTACTCAGAAACAAGAGAAAATACAATAAGTGTTGGTCTCTGGAATCTGAATATTTCTTATGGTACATTTCACATGCAACAAATTTTTCTACGCCAGGACAACATGCAATATGAAGCATAGTTTCACATTCTCACTTCATATTTAACTTTCTTTCTTTCTTTTCTTCCTTCTTTCTTTTATTTGTTTATTTTTAAAGAAGAATTCCACCATTTTCATCTAAAAGTGAGCATTTTAACCAAATTTCAGATAACTATAGTTTTACAATAGTTCTGTGATGGAATTTTAAACATTTCTGAAATAAAAATGTATTTACTTTAAGTACATACATTTAAATAATATTTTCACTCTTTTTGCAATTGGAAAAAAATAAAAACATGACATTTTGAAAATTAAAATTGTGCCATTTACCTACATTTTGTTGTTCATATTAAATGTTGTATGAAGATTTCATTTTGTGTAGTTAATTATAGTGTGGAAAATACATTTTTAGTAATTTAATTATGATGGATTTTCTTATTTTGAAGTGAAAGGTCTGGGTCTGAGACAGTAATGTACAAAAGGCAATAAGCAAAGCAAACAAATAAGTAAAAAATATATAAATATAAAAACAAATGAAAGCAACCTTCATAAAACAAAACAAAATACAAATACAAAAGCTAAAACCAACCACTAGGACACTGTCTGCAGTTAAGGACACACCTTTATATGAAAAATAATTTGTGAAATCTTTCTAAATTGATATTTTCACCAAGTTACAGAGAGTGTAAAATAACATTATTTCAGCAGGCACCAATCATACATAAAATACACAAATTAGACTCTTACCAATTTTCTTCAGTCTGTGTTGAAACCCATAAAACCTCTTTGCATGTTCTCTTTTCAGTTGACAGTGAACAGCTAATGATAAATTCCCCTTTACTTATGAAAGAGTGATGTTGGGATGGAGTAAAAAGAGAAATATGCTTCTACAGAAATCTATTTGTGCAATTATAAGTTCTATTTCTGCTATCTGAACTCCCACCAATGAATCACGAATGCAGAGAGAGTGTTACCTAGGTGACACGTTATCGGAAAACCATTACAGAGATAGGAACATTAGGAGTGGCCAAATCAACAGTTTGGTACATTCTGAGAAAAAAAAAAAAGAACGCACTAGTGAGCTCAGCAACATAAAAAGGCCTGGATGTCCACGGAGGACAACAGTGGTGGATGATCAGAGGATCCTCTCCATGGTAAAGGAAACTCTTTCACAACATCCAGCCAAGTGAAGAACACTCTCCAGGAGGCAGCTGTGTCACTGTCAAAGTCTACAATCAAGAGAAGACTTCACGAGAGCAAATACAGAGGGTTCACCACAAGGTGCAAACAAGGCCAGATTATACTTTGCCAAAAAACATCTAAAAAAGCCTGACCACTTCTGGAAAAGCATTCATTGGATGGATGAAATTAAGATCAACTTGTACCAGAATGACGGGAAGAAAAAAGTATGGAGAAGGCTTGGAACAGCTCATGATCCAAAGCATACAACATCATCTGTGAAACATGGTGGAGCAGTGTGATGGCATGAGCATGCATGGCTTCCAGTGGCACTGGGTTACTGGTGTTTATTGATGACATGACAGAAGACAGAAGCTGCTGGATGAATTCTGAAGTGTATAGGGATATACTCTCTTCCCAGATTCAGTCAAATGGAGCAAAGTTGATTGGGCGGCACTTCATAGTACAAATGGATGATGATCCAAATCACACAGCAAAAACAACCCAGGAGTTTTTGAAGGTAAAAAAGTGCAATATTCTGCAATGGTCAAGTCAATTTCCTGATCTTAACCTGATTGAGCAAGCATTTCACTTGCTGAAGACAAAACTAAAGGCAGAAAGACCCACAAACAAACAACAACTGAAGTCAGCTGCAGTAAAGGTCTGGCAAAGCATCACAAAGGAGGAAACCCAGTCTCCAGTGATGTTCATGAGTTGCAGACTTGAGGCAGTCATTGCCTGCAAATGATTCTCAAAAAATATATTAAAAAAATGAACATTTTATTTATGATTATATTTATTTGTCCAACTACATTTGAGCCCCTGAAAATGGGGGGACTGTGTATAAAAATGGTTGTAATTCCTAATCATTTTATGGTATATTTTTGTTCATCTTGATGGCATACAGAGTCGAAATTATGAAAATTGTGTCAGTGTCCAAATATAAATGGACCTGACTGTATGTATGTATGTACAGGTACATCTAAAAAAATTAGAATATCATGAAAAAGGTCAATAATTTTCTGAGACACTGAATTTTGGGTTTTCATTATCTGTAAGCCATATAATCATCAAAATTTCAAGAAATAAAGGCTTGAAATATTTCACTCTATGTGTAATGAATCCATATAATATATGGGTTTCACTTTCTGAAATGAGTGACAAAAAATATTGAC